CCCCCCCCCCCCCCCCCAAAACTGGGTGCCTCTTTCTACCCCCACAAAGGGGTCTGCGTCCCCCGAAAAAACAAGGTTCGGGGCCCCTGAGCCCCTCCAAAACAGGTACCAGGGCCCCCGAGCCCCCCAAAAGGGCTCCTGTGTGGTCCATGTCCCTGTGCCCCTGTGTCCCTGACTCCCAAAAAACGGGTCTCTATTTCTGCCCCCTCAAAGTGCCACGGGACACCACGACCTCTCCCCAAAACAGGGTCCAGGTCGCTTGACCAGCCCCCAAAAGTGTTCACGGTCGGCCCAGTGCGGTCCCCACGTCCCTGAGTCCCCCGCAAAATGGGTCTGCGACCCTGCCCCCCTCGCAAAACCGAGCCCCCACAATCCAGGACCCTCCCGAGGAGAATTTGGGGACGTCGGCCCCTTACACATGCCCTTACACCGCGCACACGTCCCCCGGACACCCCCTCGCGTCATTCCCATACACGCTCAGGTCGGTCCAGCACCCACGCGCGTCACTCTCCCCACCCCCCGCGTCACCCCCGAGGTCACCCCCGGCCCCCCGGATCACCGTCATCCCCCTTTCACGCGCGTTTACACACTCGGACACGCTCTCCACCCCAGCTCCTGGCACACCCACGCACCCACTCGCCGACACGGAGCCGCCCCCACGCCCGCACCGACCGGCCCGCCCACTGCCACTACCACTCTCCCTTACACTCATTTGCACACTCGGGTTCATTCTCGGAGACCCCTCCCCATGGCCCCGACCCCCATACACACTCCCCACACCCACTCGTAGACGCGCGCCCGCCCCTCCCGTGCAGTTCCCCCCGCGGTACCACAACCACTGCCCGCTCACACTCACTTGCACACTCATTTGAACACCCAGAGGGGCTACCTGCCACCCCTCGCACCCACTCGCGACACGAACACCCCTCACGCACCCACCGCATACTCGCACTCACACCCATTTGCACACTCAGTTCACACCTGAACGCGCTTCCCCGCCCCCCCCCACCCCCACCCACACTGGCGAACACTCTGACCCCTCGGGCGCTCCCGAACCCCCTCATCTCCCCCCATGGTACCTCTGCGGGCGGGGCCGCCGCAGCCGGCGGGCACCGGGACCCTGCGTAGAGCGCAGCCCCCGCGGTTCGTCACGTCGTGCAGCCGCCGAGGCGCCGCCGCCGCCGCCTCCACACAGCCGAACATGGCGGCCCCGGCCCCCCCCCACCCACCCGGACCCCCTCGGCCTCGCCGCGGTTGGCCCCGGTTGCGATCGGCCCCGAGCGGCCCCGGAGGGTGCGGCTGGGGGGGCGGGGTCTGGCTGGGGGCGGGGCATGGGCACGCTGGGACCGAAGAGGCGGGAATGGGACGCGGCCTGGTCGAGGGGTGGGAGCTTGGGTGGGAGGAGGCAAACGGGGAGGGGAAATGGGGCGGGGCTTGGATGGGCGGGGCTAAATTGAGAGCAGGGCCCGGCGGAGAGGGCGGGGCCCGGAAGAGGCGGGGCCCGGAAGAGGCGGGGCCTTGAGTGGCTGGGCTTAGTAGGAATGGAGCTTGATCTCGGGCTGGGCCGGGCTTGCCCGGGGCAGGGTTTGAAGGGCTGGGCTAAATTTGAAAGGGGTGTGGTCTGAGCGAGGGGTGGGGCTCGTGGGCGGGGCTGAATGGTGACTGGGCGGGGATTGTAACAGTGGGAGGCGCGGACACGCGGTGTCGTGTACACACGTGTCAAATGTGTCACACTTGTGTCAGACTTGTGTGTCCCCTCCGTGTGTCCCCCCTCCCTGGGGGACCACCAGCCCCTCCCAGTCCTCATGTCAGTCCTCCCAAGTCCCCGCGTCACCCTCTTCCTTATTCCACCCCGTGCAGTCCCAGTCATCATGTCACCACCCGTCTCCCCAGTCCTCCCAGTTCTTCCAGTCCTGTCCCGTTCCCCATCACCTCCCCAGCCCTTCCCAGTCCCCTTGTCACCCCTCAATCCCTCCCAGTCCTACCAGTTCTCCCAGTCTCCCACGTCATCTCCCCAGTCCTTCCCAGTCCCTTTCAATCCCCTTTTCACTTCCTTCAGTGTGTCCATTGTGCACAGCTGTGTGTTGGCATGTCCAGGTGTGTCCAGGTGTGTCCAGGTGTGTGTGAGCATATCCAGATGTGCATAGGTGTGTGTGTGAGTGTGCGCAGCCGTGTCTGGGTGTCCTTGGACATCTCCGAGTGTGCGAGGGCTGTGCCAACACCGCCTGCCTGACTGCATTCCTGGGGATCTGCATGAGTAACACACCTGTACACGGGATCATTGCACAAGTCACACACCTTAACACGGGGTGTTCACGTGTCACTGCACGTGTCACACACCCTTACACAGCCTCCAGCGTGCACACACATGTCTGGGCACAGGGACAAGTGTGCGGGGTGTGTCCCTGCATATTACACACACACGCACGCATCCCCATGCCCTGACACGCGTGTAAACCGTCCCCCTCCGCCGTGCTGCAGTTTCCCGAAGGGAGGGGTTGGAGTGGGGGCGGCGGGAATGGGCTAATGGAAAAAGTTTGGGTGGAAATTCCTCTCCCCGCCCCTCCCCCACTGCGGCTCAATGGCCCCTTTGTACGGCCCTGGCCCCTCTCCCGCCACGCTGGGACCCGGCTGTGTGTCTGCCCCGACCCCTGTGTCCTTCCCTGTGTCCCCCCCATATCTCCTCACAGCCCTCAAGTCCCCATAATTCCCTGTGAGCCCAAATCGCGTCCCCACCACGTTCCCCCGTGTCCCGCAGGTCTCCAACCTATGTCCCCCCAACTAGCATCCCCCCGTAATCCCTCTGCCCCCCAAGTCCCCATAACCCCGGGTCCATCCCAATCATGTCTCCCCATGTCTTTTGTGTCCCCAGTGACCTCCATAACCCCGTGACCCCAATGTCCCCCATGTCCCTTATGCTGCCCCATGTCCCCATCCCCCCCCGAGTCGTGTCCCGCCGGTGTCCCCTGTCCCCCACGTCCCCATAATCCCGTGTCCCTAGTCGTGTTCCCCATGTCCCCTGTGCACCCCTATGTTTCCTGTGTCCCCCATGCCCCCGTCCCAAATATCCCCCATGTCGCCACACATCCCCATATTCCCCATGTTCTCCATGTCCCTAGCATCCCCTATGCCCTCCCACGTCCCTGTGTCCCTGCATCCCCACCACCTGTGTTCCTCATGTGCCCCGTTCCCAATTTCCTCCATGTCCGCTCCATGTCTCCCGCATCCCCCATGCCCCACCATGTCCCCTGTGGCCCCCCCGTGTCCCCTGTGCTCTCCCGTGCCTCCCGCCCCATTGCATCCCCCGCATTCCCCCTGTTCTGCATTCCTCCCCACGTCCCCTGTGTCCCCCCACACTACATGTTTCCCACGTCCCCGGTGACCCCATGTCCCCTGTGTCCTCATGTCTCCATGTCCCTCACCCACGGGTGCCGCCACGTGCGCCCCCCCCCCCCCCCCCCCCCCCCCCCCCCCCCACCCCCCCCGCTCCACCCGTTCAGCCGCTTTGCCCGGTAAATCCCCGGGAGGGGGCGGGGGTGACCGTGGGGTGCGGGGAGGGCGGCTCGGCCATGGGGCTGGGCTGGCCGCGACCCCGGCCCCGTCGGCGCGGGGGAACCTCCCCGCGCTGTCACCCCCCATGTCACCTCCCCCCGTGCTGCACCTCCGCCTTCTGCTCGCCGCCCTGCCCCTTCTGCTTACTCCCCCCCCCCCGCCCCCCCGCCCCACCCCCCCCCCCCCC